AAGAGATACAGAAGACAGAAAGAGATACAGAAGACAGAAAGAGATACAGAAGACAGAAAGAGATACAGAAGACAGAAAGAGATACGGAAGACAGAAAGAGATACAGAAGACAGACGGAGATACAGAAGACAGAAAGAGATACAGAAGACAGAAAGAGAAAGAGAAGACAGACGGAGATAATGATACTAAAGAGCAGGTTGCGTTCACTTGAGCAGATTTGCCAGAATATACAATATTATTTTGTGTTGTTTAAAAAAAAATTATTTTACTTTATTTTTTTTTATTTTTTTTGGGGGGGGGGATGGGCGGGCGGGGGGCTATCAGAGACATTCTCTCATGGTTGGGGCGTTTCCCTTGTCGTTGGGAACAGACAGACTGTCCAAAAACTGTCATTTGGGGGAAATCAGCTGAAACTTCCTGGTCAAGGCAGAAAGACGAAAGAGAAGGAGAAGTAACTGCAGAATATATCGGGCAGATGGGAATCTGGTGGGAACAAAGGATCGTATTTCTTTTACTTCACAGTCACCAGTTGACCAAAACTGAGTCGATAATGCCGTAAAACACCTACTCAATCAATCAATCAATCAAAAGTCACCAGTGTCAAGACTGTGCATGTTTCAAGTAAGCTGACCGTTCTAAAAAATAAAACAAAAATCAATAAATATCGTTTTTCTATACCACCTATCTTCTTGTCTGTGCAACAGGCGAACATGACGCGAGTTATTGACTGAAGTTCTCCTAATTTAAAAGGAGAAAAGTCGCCAGGCTCAGACACACACCGCGCGGCGTGGAAGCCTTGCTAAAGCCACACTGCAGGGCAGTGCTGAAGGCTGTCGGAAAAGAGGAAGACCGAGAAAAAAGTTGGTCTGACAACATCAAAGATTGGACTGGTCTGTGGGGGAGGGATCTACGCGACGGGAAGACAGACAGAGGGACATCACACACGCCAACTCTTCCGCGTTATTAAGCGATTAAGATTTTAACGATCGTAGGCCTATAATTGCGTGGCAATCTGAAGATTGCGTTAATATTTCATATTTTTTAAATTGTAAAAAAAAATATTCATTTCCATCTTTATTCTTTTACTCACATCAAGGAGCATTGACATATATTGTCAAAAGTGTTAAAAAATGAAAATTAAGATAAAATTAAAATTAAAATTAAGATTGATGAGACGGAAGAGCTGACAAGAATGATATTACACGATGGTTAAAACGTGCAGCGCCGATCGGTAAATTGCGCGGAACATAAACGACGTTTCCTGAGTTCAAGAAATAGAACTACAACTCTTTATCTCTGAAATCGTCAACAGTGACTACAGTTCCCGGGTGTTGTGCCCGGAGTTGGAAAACTTCCGCCGCCGATCGCCGGGTCCAGAGTTCTTGTACGTGACGTTGTCCTGTAATACATGTAATATTGTAATACCTAAAGCATGTTGTCCTGTAATACATGTAATATTGTAATACGTTGTCCTGTAATACATGTAATATTGTAATACCTAAAGCATGTTGTCCTGTAATACATGTAATATTGTAATACGTTGTCCTGTAATACATGTAATATTGTAATACCTAAAGCATGTTG